CTTGTTTTTTACATGACTTTCTACCAATTAAGTTGTTCAAATGGATTCGGTTGAAATCGGGGATACGAAAACCCAAAACATAGATTTTGAAAAAAGGCAATGTTTCTCATCTCGAACCAAAAGCATTCAAATCAAATCATGATCATGGCATTATATCGAATGCTTCTTTGTTGAAGCTACAATTATTTTATCATTATTAAATTAAAAGTCGTTTTTTTTATTTCAGACATCCTGTATAGCAGTTGTCATGTTTCTGAAAAAGAAAATAATATTGAAAGTTATCGAGTATAAATTAATCAGACAATTACAATATCTTCCCTACTGAGCCTGATGGAGGTACATAATAGTGGCAGAGTCGGGATAAGGCCGTCTACTTCAAATCATCTTTCATTTACTGCTGTAGTTGAAATCCAATCATGACTTTGGATTCTTTGTATGTGAGGAATATATTAAGCTAATTTACGGAAGGTCGGTGGTTCTAGTCAGGTGCCCGTTCGTGTCTGAAATGTTTCACAAAGGGTATCTGGGGTCTTTCTTTACACTATATCAGGAATGTTTTCACATGACCTCAGTGTCGTTGAATCTTAAAATCCAAGAAAGCCAAACGTAACAAACCCTTTTAAATACTTACAAAATACATAATGGTAGATGGAAATTCCAACTTAAAATAAAATTTAAGGTTGCAGTATTGCTCACTTAAATACTGTTTAATCATTCTTAGGGTATTGCCTGCTTGTTAATTGTGTCTTTTGACAGCTTATCTATGGTAATTATGCAGGCTTCATAGCCCCCGATCCCCTCTCAAAATTTCATTTTATTAGTTTCACTCATTGTATTCTCGTTAAGGGCACACGCAATTTTTAACCTGGGGGGTAATATGCCGTTTTTCATAGAATGGCAATAACGTGTCACATAGATGGTTTCATGATAACAGCCATATGAACACATCCACAGATGTTAAAAAATCTAAAGTGTACCAGTTCATGTTTAATGAGAATTCTGCTGAAGCCGGTGCTAGGAGGCGTGGACGGTAGCTTACAATTACCACTACCGTCCATGAACAGGTTTAATCAAACTGAGCCTGCAACATTTTTATGTTTTCCGTGTTGGACTTCTGTAAAGGATTCTTTTTTCTCTATTTTATTACTAAAAGGAATTATTATAATGTGTAATGAAATCAAGCAATAATCTTTCTTCTCTCAATACAATTCGATAAAAGTTACTGTTGTTGTCGTGAAAACAGTCCTTACTTAGAAAATTACTTATTCTGCAAAAAGTCTCAATCTGAAACTTAAAGTAAGAAAAATAGCAAACTATAACTTTTCTGTTGAAGATAAAAAGTAATACAACCTTTCAAGAATGTATTAAATAGAAAGGTATGTGTTATTTCATAAAAATAATGGATACACAAACTTTGTTTAAAATTTGGCGATTATCTGAACTGTAACAGAAATCTGGGTATAAAATGTAACAAAACTGGATCAAAGTCGCTAGGTCTATGCTGTAACCCTTCAAAATTAACCTCGCTCTATACTGTAACATTGTTTATTTTTTCAAACGCATTTTACCAACAGGAAAATACGTTCAACTGGTCATTTACTTTTATAAACGTTTCTAAACACAAAAGACTAACGTTTTGTAGATTTACTTTATCTAGACATGCTTAAATAATGTCGGAATGGGAGAAAATTACGTTGGTCTCTCGATTCAAAATTTTAAACCGTCAAATCTGCACATTTTTGAGACAATATAGTGATAAATCTGCGGTGCAGAGTCTGAAGAAATACATGACTAGATACCGGATTCTGTTCCTTACAAGCAAAGCACAAAAACGTCTTTTAGAACCTAGACTACTAGTAGTATGGACCTGAATAAAGTCACCTACCTCTCTTCCCATAAATATTGATCCATCTTGAAAATTCTATACTGTAACCGAAGAACGCGATACTGTAACACGTTCCCTACGGTGAAAGAAGTGCTATAAGATCTTTTTACAAGAAACAGTGTTGAAATTAATTGTTCGGAGAAGGGAGTTCTGGACCTTTGCAAAGACATTGAAATTTGTGAATTAATTGATGTGCATTGTGCGATGCCAGCTAAAAGTAATAAGAAGACAAAATCATGGTCCTTTCAGATTGCCTTTAAATACTTAAACAGGATACTTGATGTTGTGTATCATAATGCATTAAAGATAAACAAGGAGATCATTAAAATGAGTATGCAGGGGAAAAACTTTAGATAAACATATATTTTACTATAATTTTGTAATTCTGGTTTATAATATAATTGTTTTTTAACCACTTTAATAAATAAATCTGTATTAACGAAACAGATGTATTTCAACGTATTTCAAAATAAAACGTATTCAAGTAGCTATCTAAATTGATCGAAGAGATTAATAAAATAAATTGCCTGATAATGATATTGAGAGTGTCTGCCATTACGTCACATTTAAGATAGAAATGCTCGATCATTTAGTTAACTTGCACATTTAATACAAATATGGTTGAAATTAAACATGTTAATCCAGTGAAACGCAAATTATTTAAATTAATATTTCCAACGGCGTCTGTATAATCGGCTCGACGTTGTGATTGGGTTGACCAATCGATTTGTGAGAAACTTCTATTAAAACTAACTGTATACAATTTAATTGTAAAATATACTGATATTAGTTAATTGTATTAATTAAGTACAAATGATAATGAGATTCAGAAAACTTATATATGTTTAAGTTTTCATATTCATCATGTAAAAAATGCATACTTAACCGTAAAAACATACAAAAGCACTCAATCAATGCTTTGAAACTAACCTTGACAAAAAAACTCGGTATTAAGAGTATTACATAAGAAACCGAACAGCAAGACATCTTAAAAGAGAGTTAAACTGATACACTATAAATATAAGAGGTGAGATACTTAATTTTGCATATTATATTTTCCTTTGTACTTATCTAAACATGTTGCACATAATCTTGTCAAACTTATTATATTGGTCTTTTATATTTTGACATAGTATTATGAATGAGTAATGAACAGTCTACAGATTTGTTAGGAAAAGAGCTGAGAAAATATATTTAAAGTTCACTACAGATCAAGTAATGTATGTTAAGGTAGCACTCCACACTAAATTTCAAGTTTCTGCCGTCAATGTCCTACAACCAATATGTCTGATAAATCTGATCCCAAACTACACAACCTGGAAAAAGAAAACACACTTTGTTAAGAACATATATGTCATAACATGGCAAATCTATAATGAAATCATCCCATGTGCAACAGTCAGGCAGTTTAAAAAATTTCAATAAAAATCTACAGTGGTCCATCTATAATTAACAGCATGTGATTTCTAACCATGTTTTCGAATTTGCCAATGATCATATTACATGTCACAAAAACAAATTTTATGCTGAAAATGCACTTTAAAGATAACCAGTCATTTAAATTCACAATAGTCACTATATCCATGAAATCCTCTCTGGCCATTCGAAGTTGTGGCTTCAAAAATTGTGATGTGCTGCCTAAGTTAGTATAACCATTATAATTAAAAGAGGAGATAGAAAAAGAAGAAGAAGAAAAAGAAGAAGAAGAAAAAGGATCGCAAAGTTAACAATATGGAAAATGTGTTACGAAATATACTAAAACACCGAAAATAAAAGTAGCAGTAACGAAATTTACTGAAATGAAGATAAATAATATTTTTGTTGTAATTGTTGAGTCACAGAAGTTACACCAACATTGCTATGGTCACATGATAACTTTACTAGCACGAGCGTAGAAAAACGAACGGTCTGTAAGATACATTTGTAGCTTGGTATTTTCTACTCATGTTTCGAACCCCCAGTTGCTTGAATAACGACCTTAACCAACTGGCAACATATGGCTCAAATTACAAACTTAAAACTTCGATATACCCGTTAAAATCGAAAATAAAAGTATAATTTTTGAAAAGTTCTAAGAAAAAGGAACTGCAAATATGACTCATGAGAATTACGGTACGAAATGCTAATTTACCGGATCAAACAATAGTTGAGTATATAAAATGAACACACAATCGTAACAAAATTATACATCTGTGAAGTCGAGAGTGTAATTGTAACATATGTACAAGCAGATTTCGCTTCAGCCAAGGAATTTAGTTGATTCATTTTATGAGAAAATCTATGTTTATATTTTTTAAGGACATAAGTGTATTACAGCTCGAATTCGCTATTTCTTTCATTATCTGTTTACATCAATATTGACAAATAGGGGTGTCGATAATTCTGAATATAAAAACATACTATTTATCGCCTAAAGTTTTTACCACCTAATCTCTCTTTTTTGTATGTGTTTAGCATAATAGGGTAGTGGCAGAGTGCTCGCTCTATGAATGTGGAGACCCTGGTTCGTATCCTGGACAAAGCCTTTTTTCATTTTACTTTTTGTTTTTAGTATTTATTTTATTACAAAGAACTTGATATTAATTCCACGTGAATTTCATTCACACAATTCTATATGAGAACATTTAGTTATACACATATTCGCTTTCAACAGGTTTTTAAGTGTAAAACAACACAGATAAATGAGCAATAGAAGAAAAAAATATATATATGGTCTATAAAAATGAGCCAAAATTGTTAAACATGTGTGCAAAATATTATAAAAGAGAAAATGAACAGTTACGTGATACACTATAAACATTTATTCTGAAAGTAAAAAACCATACTCAAGAAATGTGCACAGTTGCAGATTTGAACTCGGAAAAAACATGTTCATAACCTGAGATCTTCATAACCACTACGCTACTCAGATTTATGAGTCTATTTCCACTTTTATTTTTCTATATTGCAATAAAAATGCGACACGTAATAATTTATGAACTTGAATAACCTGCTATATTATTATGGTACGACCGACTAATGTAACGTTATCGTGTTTGACTTATATTAGATTTTCTTTGATGTTTTTGCACAATACTTTCTTATCTTATATGAACTCCAAATCGTGTCAAAATTTTACATATGTGGCGGCGAGATCAAACTGACTGAAGTGTTATTGCAACATATGTACACAACAGATTTCGCTTCAGTGGAGGAATTTAGTTGATTCAATTTATGAGGTAAACGATGTTTATATATTTAATCGACATATGTGTTATATTAGATTTCTTTATGTTTTTAGTTATCTGATGATATTGCAGGATACTTACTATCTTAAAAGGAGCCATATTTAGAATCAAATACAAAATATCCTTAAAATCGAAACTCGTAAATGTAAAAAAGCAAGAATGAAAATTTCCTTTCGAAATATACTTAGGAAAACGAAAGCTTTAGATACAAGATACAAGAAAATTTATTTTACGTCGGATACATATAAACAGAAAACATAGCTCATGAGCTATTTTCCGACAAACAATAGTATATGAACTAAACAAAAGTAAAGCAGCTAAAAAAGAAAATATAAGCATAAGCACAATTAAGTACATGGAAGTAAGATATTAAAGCAACTAAAAATTATAAGCATAACCACATCTAAATACATGGATTTAAGTTATTATAGCACCATGCATGCTTAAAAGTTACAATAATTACAAGCAAGATAAAACAAATAACAGATATATATAAATAATGTACATTCCTGTAAAAGAGTTATATATTAGTTAAAGACAGACATGTATAAAAATAAGCATAAGCACATCTAAAAATATGAAATTAAGAAAACGAAAATTTAAAATAAGTTAAAAACTACAAATGTTACAAGAAAAAGAATACAAAAATAAGATATACATAAACACCTATGTACATACCTGTAAAAGAAATATAATAGATATATAAAAAAAAATACATACATAAAAAAACCAAACAAAAACAAGGAAATTACAAGGACTATCACATAATGCAAATAAAAAGTAACATTAAACATTTATTGTTATAATATTTGCAACATCTAAAGAATATACATAAAAGCACATATAAAACATGTTAATCACATACAAAGTAACAAACACATGTTAGACACACATGTGTTTAACAAAAGGCTACAAAAGACACATTGAGCACTTACATTTTGGGCCTGTCCAGGTGCCAACCAGCCTCCCAAATTCTTTGAAGTTTTCTACTCTTCTGATGTCACTAGGGAAGCTGTTCCACACCCGGGCAGCCTCAAAACGAAGAGAGTTCTGTCCATACCTGGTGGTTCGAACTGTAGGCACTTCTAGAATATGATCAGACCTGCAATTGTAAACAGAGGTCTTTAATTTGGCTAAGTTTTGAATATATTTAGGTGATATATTGTGTAAGCACTTGAAAGTCTCGATTGCAATTGTTTTTAACCTGCCTGCTTAAATGGAATGTGGGTAATTTAACCTTATTAAGGAGACTTTCATATGATGGTGTAAAATCATTGAAAACAATGCGTAAGGCCCTGTACTGGAGTTTTTCAAGTTTGTCTGTGGTGGCTTTACTACAGAAGTGCCACACTATGGGACAGTAATTGAAATTGGACCTGATAAAAGATTTGAATATGATAAGCCTGGTAGGTACAGAGAGGAATTTACTTAATCTTTGCAGGACATTTAACTGTTTTGCAGCTTTTTGGCAAATGGCTGATACCTGGGCATCAAAAATTAATTGATAGTCAATATCTACTCCTAGTAATTTGACCTGTTCATCACATGGGATAGTGCTGCCGCTTATATCAAATGACTTAATTTCAGTATGTGACTTGACCCCCACTGAGATAACTTGAAACTTTTCAGGGTTTGCCTGTATTTGACTAGATTTAAACCAATCTATGAGGATATTACTTTCATCCTCAAGGGTAGATTTGACAACTGTAGCATTTTTATGCCAGAAGGACAAAGTGTTATCATCAGCATAATTAAAAAGGGTGGATTTTTCTATGAAGTAAAATATATCATTAATGAAAATGTTGAAGACCAGGGGCCCTAATATTGATCCTTGAGGGACATCCTTAATAATATTATCCCACTGGCTGGTATAATCCCCTAGTTTAACCCTTTGTTTCCGCTTTTGGAGATAACTGCTCATAAGTTTACATGTCAAGCGTTATCAGACAGACCATATGCTTTAAGTTTAAGGATAATTAAATCATGTGGAAGACAGTCGAAGGCCTTTGATAAATCCATTAGTATTGCTCCGATGAACAGGTTTTAATCAAGGGCCTTTTTCCAGTCTTCAACTAGCCTTAGTAGCGTAGTCTGACAGCCATATGATTTACGGAAGGCTGCCAGATAAGGGTGAAAAATTTCCTCAAAGTAACCCGAGAGTTGGTCATGGATAACCCTTTCATATAATTTGGACATGGTGGGTAGAATACTTACTGGCCTATAATTTTTTTCTATATAGGGGTCATCTTTTTTAAAAATTGGGGTTACTTGGGCAAGTTTTAGATTTTCTGGGAACTGACCTTGACTTAACATAGTATTACATAAATCTATAATAGGACAGGCCAGGGAGTGTTTGCCTGCAATTATGACCTTTGGTGGAATTTGATCAACTCCAGTAGCCTTTTTTGGATTTAACATTTTTATGGACTTAGATATATCTTGTTCAGTGACCAGTTTGAATGTAAATTGTGATTGTGGGCAATTATTCTTTATTTTATCTATGCTTGGGTGTATAAAGGTGTCTTGTTCATTTTCTTCTATACCAATGTTTTTGAAGGAAAACCAAACTAAAATATACGAGGGGTTATCCAAAAAATTCGCGGACTTTTTAAATATCTATTAAACGTCAACGTGTATTGTAATGAAATTTTATTAGCATACCTTGTAGAATATTATCAACACGTTTTGAAAAGGACAGTTAACTGCGTCAATGAATAATAATTTTATATTGCTTTTAAATAAGCACATGCCCGGCACCCGGCTCAATGTAGAAAAGCCCAGTTAGTCATTGCATATTTTTTGTTAAAAAAACACTTATTAACGAAGAAAACCCGCTAAACATGGCATGTTTTTTCGATGATGTTATTTAAGTAATTCTTTAGAATATAGACGTCATTTCCGTTATTTTTTTGTTGAAATCGCCAGAAACGCCCGACAACGATATTGTTTACAACGGGAAAATGACGGACACGCAGAAATTAGAAAATAGCGTGATAATAAACTTTTGTTGTAATTTGGGAATGACACCTACAAAAATATTTGAAAACTAGAACTGTGTCCAAAGGACAGGGATGCCCCCACTGTGCAGATGTGCTCGTAAACAAGAGCATGCATATCTGTATGTAAGATTTTTATGTGGAACTTTTTATAAAAATCTTCCATCCGGTTTAAGAGGAGTTGCGGTGACAAAATTTCTATATGGTATGTAGTGAAAAAAAACAACAAAGGGCCAAAATTCTGTTAAATTTTATCGCGGCAAAAATTCATTCCTTTACTTCCATCTACACATTAATGTTGTTCAAGCAAAATCTGCCATCCGGTTTAAGAGGAGTTGCGTTCACAAAATTAGTGAAAAAATCAACAAAGGGCCACAATTCTGTTAAATTTGGTCGCAGCAAACATTCCTTCCTTAACTACCATCTACACATTAAGGTTGTTCATCCCTGGAAGTTTAAGCAAAATCTGCCATCCAGTTTAAGAGGAGTTGCGTTCACAAAATTTCTACATAGTATATAGTAAAAAATCAACAAAGGGCCATAATTCTGTTAAATTTGGTCGCAGCGAAAATTCCTTCCTTTACTACCATCTACACAGTAAGGTTGTTCATCCCTTGAAGTTAAAGCAAAATCTGCCATCCGGTTTAAGAGGAGTTGCGTTCACAAGATTTCGGGACGTACGAACAGATGTACGGACGGACAGACAGACGTACGGGCGGACGGACAAGTGCAACGCTATATGCTCCTGAATTTGTGGGGGCATAAAAATTATCAGGCAGACAGACAAAATAAAATTTCACGATAATAAGTATGTAAGTTGCATTAGAAATTAGTGATGAACATTACTTTGAGAAGCAGTAACGGTTATTGACTGCGTAACGTTGAAGCATAAGCTGTACGTTAAATATTATAACGTTGACGTCGAAAACTTTTTGGAGTGCGCCGCAGTCGCCGACATATGTTTATGTAAAATTAAATATTGTTGTAATATAAGAAGATATTTACATGAATTTTTCTGTGTTTATTTGTTATTTATTCTTCTAAGCAGTGTAAAAATTTCAAATCAATACCTCAAATATATTTTACGCAACAAAGAAAGTCCACGAATTTTTGGATAACCCCTCGTATGTATGACTAATGCAAACTATGTAAAGAAATGCCCAATTACGTTGGGTATATAAATCGAACAACCAGATGATTTTTATTTGTGCGTAACCAAACTGAATTATTTTTACTTCAGATAGAATTAATTGATTCAGTTAAAGAGGTAAATGGAGTTTAAATACTTCAATATTCATAAGTTGAATATTAGATCTCAAAATGTGGAACGACAGAAGCACGAAAGCAACAACAAGCATACTAAATTTTCCTAAAAATCGGAAGGGAAAATAACAATGATGAAATTTCATTTCGAATTGTACTTATGAAAATGAATAACGAAGTTTAGTAATAATTTAATTCATAAAAATATATATAACAAGAAATTCTTATGCTATGACAAACGAAAATAATGGTAGAAATAATGTTACGAAATATACTAAGAAGAATGAATGCACCAGTAGAAATAAGAAAAAGTTATCGAAAATGATTAGTAAAAATAAAATTAAAATAGAAAGTAAAAGAAGGATTCACGAAACTTTTAGACTGTTACATTTCATTATTTTTTACATCACTTTTTTATATAGTTCAGTTACTGAATACTTGGACTATGTTTACATGCACTGGAAATAAATATAAATAACTGGCCAAAATGCGTAAATAAATTATATAAAATTTGAACACTTTTAAAGTCGCACAGCACGACAAGAACACAAAAACAACAGGCAGGTGCAGACTGATGATGATATATTTCACAACACAAGTTTAGATGTAATCATGCGTTGATATTCATTGAAATACAAATTGTATATATAAAACAAATGATATAATTATTTGTTTAAAGATCCTGTATGTTTTGTGATTGATATTGTTACTGTATGTATCATACACTTGCAAAATATTATATATGTATATAATTATGCAAATAAAACAATTTTCAAACATCCAAGAATATGTAAAATGTGTACTGCAAATATTTGTGCACATTATATTTAATCAATAAGTTACATGCATTTATTTCTTATTGGAAAATTTGACTTGGAATTTATAGAAAATAAATTTCTAATTACCTCCCTTTATTTACGCAAAATGTTAAATTGGGTAATATCTTTATAAATAATGCTTATTTGAACTTACAAGATTGACAAATCTTAATTTGAGCATCATATTTATGAAATAAAACCATGAAAAAAATGTGTTACAGGATCTTTAAACTACAAGTGATATACATTGTATTTCGTAACTTTATCTATTTTACTATTGGGAAAAAATAGGAACTTGAAACATGTCTAATCCTACTCACCTGATACATGTACCTAGGAAGGTTATCGTATCGTATAAAATTGAGATATAAGTGGTTGCACAAAATTACAAATTTGATATTAAATGTCATTTTTTGAAAAAAAATGTCTGTTTGATAAGTAATTTCATCTGTGTCAATAGAAAATATGTCAATTTCAAATAAACTCGAGATGTAATAGTTATAGTATATGAAACGAGTTAGTTACGAGGATGTTACACTGGCTGGGGCGACATCAAGGGATATTTCTGCTAAAAAATGGCGAATCCGTTAGGCCGAGACAATTATTTGCATAAATATCCCGAGATGTTGTCCAGCCAGTGTTATATCTCCGTAACAAACAAGTTTCATATTTTCAAACTTTTTTATCGCAATGGCATGTTTTTTTGTTGTTTTTTGTTGTTGTTTTTTTTGTAACAGAAATCAGGGAAATAGAATCTAAATAAAAAAAATAAATAAATCGCAAACTACCTTACAGCTAGTTATGATAAGGCAGTTTTTTTCATGTAAAAATACAAACAAAACAAACAAATAAAAACAAACAATCAAGATATAAAACCATTGGAAACTTAAAGACATCCAATGTTAGAGATTGTAAACTGTTACCTTGTGGAAAGTAATGCTGATCCATGATTAAGTGGAAATAATTCATTCAGCAGATGTACCTTTTGATTATATGAGAGAACATTTCATTTTATTGATTATCATTGATTATATTTTTTACTATTTATTTTCTTATTTATTTATTTTACTTTATGTAATTGATTCCATTATTTATTTTTTTTGCTACTGGGAATGTTCGTTACCCTTGGTCCATTGGAGCCTCTGTGAAAAAACTACAATGATATGTACAAGGTGCAAAAAAACTCAACTGCTATATAGCAGTAGTGTGTTTTTCCTATATGAATCAATGATAAAACTGCAGTGCTATATATCAATACAGTTTGTAAATGCTCATTGAAAGTGTACTTAGTATAATGGGTTCGTAAGAACAATGAAAACGTTCAAAACCAAGCGTATGTTTTGATAAAAATTCCATACAGCTTAAATCTTTGACCTAAGACTGAAAGTGGTTTTACTGCAATAAACAGGGTCGTTATTTCTATATATTTCAGTGCCATTTAAAACCAAATTAAATGATGGCTAGCAACAGTACGTTTGAGTGCAACACCGTACCTGCAGAAGAAGGAGAGTTATTTGTTTATGAGTTCGCAAAGCATGGTATCACTGGTATACAACAATACGTCACAGAAAGACTTAATAAATGGCGTAGAATTCCATTGAACATTGCAGTTACTGGAAAAGCAGGAGCTGGAAAATCAACTTTTATAAATGTCATTCGGGGACTTAAAACGGGAGAGGAGGGTGCCGCTCATACTGATGTCACTGAAGGCACGAAAACTATCAAGTCTTACAAGCATCCTTACAACGAAAATTTAGTATTTTGGGATTTACCTGGAGTTGGTACGGAGAATTTCAAACGGGCAAATTATGATGATAAGGTCAACCTGGCAAAATATGACTTTTTCCTCATATTTTCATCTGAGCGATTTTTAGAAAACGACGGCTGGCTGGCAAAAGAAATAAGAAAGATGGATAAACGGTTCTACTTTGTGCGTACCAAAGTATTCCTTGATATTTTCAATGAGAAAAAGGGTAGGGCGTTTCCGCGTTCTAGAGATGAGATTTTGAGTCATATACGAATCGACTGCCAACAGAACCTAGAAGGATATGGTATATCGGACAGCCCTGTCTACTTGATCGACAACTTTGAACCATACGACTTTGACTTCGGTATGCTACAAGCAAAATTAATCGAGGATGCACCACAGCTAAAACGTGAGGCCATGACTTTTTCAATTATTGGTCGAACCGAAGAATTAATGTTTCAGAAAAAGAAGGAACTTCAAAAACGAATTCCAATTATTTCATTGGAATCTGCAGTGGCTGGCGCAGTTCCCGTTCCAGGCTTTGGCACGGCTGTGGATGTTGGTCTAATGATAATAGAAATCATGTTCTACAGAGACCAGTTTGGTTTGACCGAAGATGCAATCAAAAAGAGTGCAGTAATGCTCGGAGTGCGCACAGAAGAGCTGACAAGTGAACTTGATATGAAATTGATATTAATCAATTGCACAGAGAAAGGATTAATTGCGCTCTGTAATGCATTTCTCATATCGCAAGCAGTGGAAGAAGTAACAAAGGTCGTGTTACCTGTTATAGGAAGCGCCATAGCTGGAATATTATCATACCAGTCAACTTCCTATTGCATGACAAAAATTCTTGAACAGATGTATCAAGATGCTTTGAAAATCAACATGAAATTGAGTATGCATGTAGCACAATCATTGGCTGTTTAACGACTTCTTTTCTATCTTAAGGCCCTGTCACACTAGACTGCGCTTTCACTGATTTTGCACGGCGTTGTTAAATTTTACAAAGCGCCGCGAGGTCGCAATATAAATGTGATAATTTTGATAACCTTGAGCGTTTTAATTGGCGATTGTCTGCTTTCGGACTGCGCTTCTACTGCGTTCTTTGCGTTTCCACTGCGCTTTAACGGCGCTCACACTGCGCTTAAATGACAAAGCTCTCTAAAAGCGAGGTAGAGATGCCGCACAATCTCCGTACAAGTGTCGTGGATAACCATCACGTTTATTTAGCGCTCCTGGTATTAAAACATATTCAATATCATTTACTTCATATAACATCAACAGAAATAGAAATTTATACTTCAACATGTTTTTGTTACATATATAACAATGCATTTAGTTTATTAACACTAATATTTCTTGAGAAAACGTGGTTATTTTGACAATTGGCATATGCGATAACCACTGCCCGTTTACAAAAAAAAAAAAAAAAAAAAAAAAAAAAAAAAAAAAAAAACCTGACACGTAAACATATATTTTTATTTCTTTTTTTGAATTCACCATAAAATTTTACTTGATAGATCAAAAATGTAGAAAATTCTATGATTTTTTTTCAATATATTTAATTATTTACAGAATTCCAGTTAATTTTTCTTATTTCTTGTTCAGTTAAGAGGCCTGAAAACCTATTTTTTTAAAGAAATATGTTCAGATTTTCTTTTGGTTCATACAGATCGAGCCATTGTGCGTGTTTTATGTTGACTTATGCATTTTGATAACACAGTTTTGCCATTTTGAAAGTTTTGAGATATACGGATACCATGGAAACTGCCATTTTACAAGAAATCTAAAACGCCAACATGTGTTTTTATTTTTATTTTTGAATTTGTCATTAAATTTTACACAACATACAAAAAATTTAGTAAATCCTATGAAATTTTGTTCTCGATATCTTTAATTATTTACAGAAATCATTTTTTTCTCATTTCGTGCTCAACATCAAAATCATTTAAAAGAAATATGTTCAGATTATCATTTGTTTCATACATAATTATTGGATAAGGTTATCGTTGCATCAATTATGCTTTTTATGTGTATTAAGCTATCATGTTCTATTTTTTTTTACACAGTTTGGCTATTTTTGAGATATACGGTTACCATGGAATCTGCCATTTTACAAGAAATCCAACACGTCAACATATATTTTTCTATTTTGAATTCGCTCTTTAATTTTACTAATCATACAAAAAATTTAGAAAATGCTTTGAAAGGATTAAAATTTTCATAAAACTGTAGAAAATGTATATTTGAGTGGAAGTGTCTATCCTTAGGGTGTGTTAGACAATATTGAGTTTTAATTAACTTTATTAAAGCTTGTGACAATAATATATAAGCCCATATAGTCGTTATAACGTAACGTTTGTGTGCATAAACACTGTTTTGAAAAAAGCTATCGTTGAAAATCAGATTGTTAAATTGTAGGTGTGAAGTGAATATGCATATAAAGTTTTATAACGTTTTAACATGACAACTGTTTATAATATTTAGCTTGTGTGACTAGTTTTACATGACTATTCAAGCAAATTAAGACATTGTCGATTTCGTTTTAATTAAGTTTTGTGGGGATTTGAAATAAAATTATTTAACTAATGATTTTTTTGTTTGTTAAAAGATATAGAATGATATGGCCTTTATCTAGACGTGACGTTCTATTTTTAGCAACTGAAATCACTTATTTTGATGCATAATGTTCTATGAATATGCACTCATCGTATGGTTTCCTTACTTAAGAAGTATTCAGTGGTATTTCAGATCATACAGAATATTTATTATGTATTATCGGAATCTGATTTGTCATGCGAACATCTGACGGAACATTGCCAAATTATGGTAACGGCTTGTAATTATGAATGAAAAACAATTTTGTCATACATTTTCAACAAATTTTTCAATTCCATTTTTCGTTAGTAGTATTCTTCATTGTTTATTGACAAACGTCCCATGACTTGGAAATTTCTCGAATTCAAAAATTTATTATGTTCATGTTAATATGTTTGCAGTTATTTGAATTAAGTTCGTTAACTATACAGTTTATACATACAATGTCTTTTAATTTCCCTGAATTATTTGTTTGTTTAGCATAATATTTTCGTTATTTAAAGTTGATTGAGGTTAAAACTTTTATTATTGTAATTCTAGGTAAAATTACATGCCTAATGTTATAATCTTTATGATTTTTGAAACATTCATTTGAATACATCTTGATTTTGATTTGATATATAAAGAAATTGTATAGCAATATTAATCTATCATAAAGACTGTTAAACAACTAATAAGAATTTCTAGCACGGATAGTCGGAGTATTTTTACAGCAATCATGTATTTTATAATTCTGTTGTAAAATTGGATTCTAACTAAAACATGGTATGTAATTATTACATAATATGCCATAATGTTACTTAACATAAATAATCTTCATATTATATATTGTTGAAGAAATACTAAGGGTTTGAACTTAAACTTGGATGTAAGTGTATTGTAAATCTTTACGATATTCTCTTACAGTCACATAGCATGGCTTAAGAGTCTTGTATATAGGTATATATACACTATTTATAGAGAATGGTTCTACTTTCACATACACTAGGTTTTTAACTTAGTGAGATATAAAATGTTGATTGTGCATTAACATATGTTTATAAATATGTTTACTTTCATAGTAGTATTTTTATTCTTTTAACTGCTGTGTAATACTTAGGTATTATAATAATCTTTTTTAGAAAATGTAAATGTTAATATTTTTGCATGTTACACTTTTCCGTGAATCATTATAAGAACAGTTGTGTAAAGAAATGATAAGCCTTAAACATTTGTTAAATAAATTCTGATCAGATGAAATTTGCAGATCAATTTAGAATTCCATTTAACCGGGCACCTTAGAGAGGTTTGACATTCTTCTGCTAGTTTTAAAGCAATTTCATCTCTTAAAGTTCACTTAAGTTAATAATTGATACTTAAATTTAATTTAAGGACCTTGGCATAAAGTACATCTTAGAGATTATCTTAATTCACTAAAGAATTTTGATACATTTGTCAGTAATTTCCTTTTAACAGAAGTATATTAGAAAAGTTATAATCTTTTCTATGTTCCAATTGGTAGCGCTCTTGAATTTTAAGATCTTAACTTTTGTTGTCATTGATTAAAACAGGGCCAGTTACTGGATCTTTGTTTTTAAGTTTAATAGCACAGAAACTTAAAGGTTATTTTTCAGTTTTCAGTTGATTATAACATTTTTACCATCTTTCAGCTTGTCTTATCTTCTATTGAACTAGTTTAATTATCATACGTTTAGTTAAATTATAACAGTTTTTCTAAGTACATATTGATAACTTGTTTATCTTTAAGTAACCTTTAGTCAAGTGTAAATAAAAAAAGTTCATTAAAAAATTGATCGATTGAAACTGAATCAATATTTGTGTTTTATTTATCTCTGCATTCAAAAGGTGGTATCATCCTAACGATTAGAATTTACCTTCATCATGAAATTTTTCATACCTTTCTCCTTACAAACTATTTAAGAACATTACATAACAAGAAATAAGGTGAATACCGAACCTATATTTAGAAACATTTATACATTATATCTTTCTAACGCCACAGCAATGGTGACACAAGTGGGATAGTTTTGAAAAGAGTAAATCTTTTGAACTTAGTAGTACAGGTTTTGTGTTTAGTATTTCTTTGATTAAATAATCTATGAATTTCCGTCAAAATACATTTTTTAATACAAAGTCAGTAATAAAAAGCGCTAAAGTAAAGTCACATCGATACACAATCTTGACCTATCTTTTCTTCCTTGGTGATCTGTTTTCTTTCACTTTAATGTTGAACCGTCTATTTAGTAAATTATCTTATCTTTATGTGAAGCCACAAAGTAGGCCCTAAATGTTTTTTATGTTCAACTGCACCAGACAATGAATGTTTTCTTTTATCTTCGTCGACACTGAATTACATAATTTTGAATTAAATATTAACTCTAACGACGATGAAGCCTTAAACGTCTTTACGGTAATGATAGACTAGTTATTTCTTGTTCTGATGTATTTGACTTATCTTGCAAATAATATAATTTTTCCAGTCTCTACATTTTTGTTGAATTAATAAATATCTTGATTTTAAAAGTTATGATGAACTAGTCTCATCTTGTACAATACACGTTTTGCACAAAGCACTTAACATTTCTTTTAACTTCCACAATAAACAAAACGCTTTTTCAGCAAAAAAAGAAGATTTTTAAAACATCCATGCTTAATTAGTTAACTTGAAATTGTTATGTTTTCATGTATATGATTTGTTTTGTAAATAATACCGTTTGTTTGTCTTTATCTAATTGTCATATTTTGCATGATATGTCCCCTGACACTTAACAATCTCTTTTACTGAGACGAGCGCCTGAGCTTTAACCTGAACAAAAACAATCATTTTTAAAAATCAACAGTTTATCCCAGCTTCCAAACGTTTTACCAACTAATATCCACTTTTTTGTCCACCATATCCCGATTATATTGTGTGCAGACATATATACCTAACTCTAAACTTAATATAAATATTTTGTTTTCTTTTGCTCCGAAACATTCTATATAAAACTATGTAAATAATTCACTTAAATAAATATAAGTTAAAAACAATATTTTATATACACTAGAAACTGTTTGGAGTAATCTTTTAATATCATAAAATAATCATGAAACAGAATTTTTCTTATTTTTCTTCTCTCCGTAGCAATGTCTTTATAAATGTATTCATTTTTACGAAAGACCGGTGGGGACATTTCAACTTCATGAATTCCCGATTACAACTTCATGAATTCTCGATTTCAACTTCATGAATTCATGATTTCAACTTCACGATTTCACGATTTCAACTTCATGAAGTTGAAATCGTTAATTCATGAAGTTGAAAACGTGAATTCATGAAGTTGAAATCGTGAATTCGTGAAGTTGAAATCGTGAATTCACGAAGTTGAATTCGTGAAGTTGAAATCGTGAATTCGTGAAGTTGAAGTCGTGAATTCTCGAAGCTGAAATCGTGAATTCGTGAATTCCGTGTGTTGAAAACGGGAATTCACGAAGTTTAAATTGTTAATTCATGAAAATGAAATCGGTAATTCATGAAGTTGAAATGGCCCTACCGGTCTTTCGTACATTTTTTATTACTTATCTGATTTGCTGTTTTCTGTATTATTAATATTTGCATATGTTTTAATTGCAAGTACCTTATGTGTGGAAAGGAATTTACATAAGTCACGTTTGACTGTTTTTTTTAAATACACGAAATCTATCAGTGTGTTTGCATATGCTTACTATATGTGTTTATGTTGTGCAAATTGAAATAAATATTGTTTAAACAAAACATTCGTTGGCTCGCTTACTCGCTTTTGACAATTTCTTGAACTCGTTTTATTGACGTTTTTATTAATCTACATTTCATGTCCGATCATCAGAATGAAATGATAGACATAACGAAAATAATACATTTATAAACGAATTCTTAGAATCTTTTAAAAATGTCTTTTCAACCAAATACTGAAAATAACAAATAAATATCAACATGCATAAGTAAATTTATGAAAAGGAATTTTTATTTATTTTAACATTGGTAAATAGGAAAAAAGAAAATTGACATAGTTCATGGATACGTCAATTATTCTTAAGATCCATTAAAACATGACACATCAGGTCAAACAAAAATAAATTCTAGCAAAACAATTTTCGTACTATTGCTCATTGATACGTCTTCCGTCCGATCACTGTTGCAAATGATTGACCGATACTCCTTATCTGAGCAAATATACTCTACACTACGTTGTACCTCTTAATGGATGAAAAACCATTCTTACTTTACTTCCATGCCGTATAAAATCAATGTTTTCTTTAGTTATTGCATGTAAATGTAAATCATCAATAGAGCAATGTGACTCGTCGATTAAACATGAAAAATGATTTTTGTGCTGTCATGATTTGAAAGCAAATATTGACCTTTAAATGTTTTTCTCTTACGCTCTATAAACATTCATTGTTCCTGGTATCATGTTTCTGCATATAATTAATATACATAAAAATTTTAATATGAAAGTGGTACTGAAAAGATAAAAAAACAAAATAAATAAACACACAAAACACCAAACAACAATAACAATAAAATTAGATAATTGTCATCATTTCCAAATATGTCAGGTATGTAAAGTCAAGTCAATATTGTTTACACTAAAAAACAGGGGTATAATAATAGGTTTATGAAACAAGTATGTATGTTTGAATCTTTTCCATGGGTTATATTTTCAGTTTCAACAATATTTTGTAAATTTACAAAGTTGAACAATTGCATGTAGTTGAACTAAGTCAAGGGAATCAATCTTAATAACAAATATAGTTATAGAGCAAGCAATTGGTTGTGTCCCTTATATTCGTAAGCGTACCCGTAACATATTATAAAAATGTACTGGATAAACATCGTTTTAGTTGAATATATTTTAGGTTGGTATAATAACATTTCCAGTGACATTTCTTAATTGAGATATTCACAGCATGAAGTAAAGATATACTATATAGAATTACGAAAGATTGACTCTTACGATAAAATCACACATTTCACTCTTATTATAAATGTTAAATAATGTCTTTTTGATGAATGATTTAATATATGCCAATGAAAAAGAAATCACTTATGAATATCAAATAATCTTGAAGGTGCGATGTATGTTTTTAATAAAAAATTCCATGCAGCTTAAATGTTTGAACCGAGCCAGTTTTGCTGAAGCTGATTGTACTGCTATAAACAGGGTCGTAAATGCTATATATCTCAGTGCCATTTAAAACCAAATTAAAGGATGACTAGCAACATAACGTTTGCGTGTAACAACGTACCTGCCGAAGAAGGAAAGTTATTTGTTGATGAGTTTAAAAAGCATGGTATTGCTGGTATACAACAATATTTAACAGAAAGACTTAATAAATAGCTTAGAATTCCATTTCATATGCAGTTACTGGAACCTGAGTTCTGCACATCGTCTCATTATAAGTAATATTTCTATCTATTTATCGGTTCAAAAGATACATAG